GGGCGGCGGCGGCAAGGGCAAAGGTGGAAAGGGTGGCGGCGGCAAGGGCCGCGGCGCGAAGGGCGGCGCGAAGGGTGGCGCGAAGGGGAAGAAGGGGAGGCGGTGAGTCTACCAGGCGGGGCGTGTGTTATCACAACGGACAACGATCGCGTCTCTCGTGATGGAAATTTTCTCGATCGTCGTGTGAGTGGGGCTGTGACGCGCACAACGTACCATTACTAGAACCCGTCCTTCTGGGACTTACCCACCGCAGTACCTGTGGTACGAACCACCTCGCACCTGCCACGACTGGGGACTGGCCCACGTGTGTGGCGAGCGTGGATCGGGCCGCTCTCGGCTATCTGCCGTCCGAACCCTCAGCCCTCCGCCATTCGAGCTGGCTACTCAGCCCTCAGTCGCGTGCCCCCTTCAGCTCCGCCACCGTCCCCTTGAGCTCCGCCACCTGGTCGAGCGCGTCGCCGAGCAGCCCCTTGGCCACGCCCAGGTCGCGCAGCTGCTCCACGCCGCCGCTCGCCCGCACCTCGGCGGCGTGGTCAGCCACGAAGCGGCGGCACTGCGCGAGGAGCCGCCCGTCGCCCGTCGTGTGCGCCGCCTCGAGCAGCGGCACGGCGGTCGCCGGCCCGACGCGCTCATGCAGCGCCTGCGCGCAGAGCAGCTCGAGGCGCGGCACCTGGTACATCTGCGCCAGCTCCTGCAGCACGAGCGCGCGCCGCGCCTGCTCGCCCTCCCCCTCGCCGAGGTCGAGCTGGTCGGTGCAGAGGTAGTCGATGAAGGCGGTGAAGCTGGCGAGGTCCGTGTTGGGCACCGTGATTGAGGCGGCGTCGCGCTCCTTCATGCCGATGCCAAACATCTTCCCATAGTACTCGGACCGCACGCAGAGCAGGTTCTTGCTCACGTGCTCGAGGCGCTGCTCCTCCTTGCCGACGACGAAGGTGACCAGGCCGGTGGGGAGGGTGGCATCACCCCGCGTCTTCTTCATGTCGGCAAAGAAGGTGGAGGGAGGCACCACGAGCGGCGCAAAGGAGGGAGGCGGAGGAGGAACAGCCACGCAAACCTGCCAGAGAGCCGAATCATTTGTGCGGACCAGAACCGTGCTACCGTCCGCGCTGATGGCGACGTCGAGGGGGTATTGGAATTGCGCCGCGCCGCCCACGCCGTCGGAGCCGCCCTCGGTGCCGCTGCCGGCGACCGTAGTCACCGCGCCCGTCGCCACCTCCACCCGCCGGATCTTGTGGTTGTTGGGGTCCGCCACAAACAGCGCGCCGCCGTCCGGGCTGATGGCGACGCCGCATGGGCCGGAGAACTCCGCCGCGCCTCCCACGCCGTCAGCGCTGCCCTGAGCGCCGCTGCCCGCGAGCGTGGTCACCGCGCCCGTCGCCACCTCCACCCGCCGGATCTTGTTGTTGTCATGGTCCGCCACAAACAGCGCGCCGCCGTCCGGGCTGATGGTGATGCCGACTGGGTTGTGGAACTCCGCCGCTTCGCCCACGCCATCGGAGCCGCCCTCGGTGCCGCTGCCCGCGACCGTAGTCACCGCGCCCGTCGCCGCCTCAACCCGCCGGATCTTGTGGTTGTTGAGGTCCGCCACGAACAACGCGCTGCCGTCCGGGCTGATGGTGATGCGGACTGGGTTGTGGAACTCCGCCGCTTCGCCCACGCCATCGGAGCCGCCCTCGGTGCCGCTGCCCGCGACCGTAGTCACCGCGCCCGTCGCCACCTCAACCCGCCGGATCTTGTGGTTGTTGAGGTCCGCCACGAACAGCGCGCCGTCCGGGCTCAGGGCGACGCCGCGGAAGAGGCTGCCATCGCCCTCGCAGGTTGCTACGCTACGCACGCGCCCGGCCGCCGACACGTGCAGCAACGAGTCCTTAGCCGCTACGTACCAGGCGCCTGCGCGATCGCTCGCTCCGCCGCGCAGGTCGTACGGTGCCGGAGGGCCGTCCTCGCCCTGGAGCGGCAGCGTGGTGACCTGGCCGACGGTGCGCGCTCCAAAGAGGGGCGCCTCGAAGCCGTCCGCGACCGGCACAACCTTGCCCTCTTCGTCGTTGCCTCCGCCGCTGTCCGAGCGGGCTCGCTTGGCGTGCATATGTGCATGTACCCTAAGTTTCTCCGAGACCTCGCGAGCGGCAGTGTGGTTTGGGCAGGGCATATGCAATATGGGGCAGTTTTTCTTCCTTTCGGGTTTTAAGAAAACGACTGTGTGTGTGTGTGTGTGTGTGTGTGTGCGTGTGTGTGTGTGCGAAAACGAATCTGCGAGGCGTGGCCGCTCATGCGGCCCGATGGGGAGGAGCGGGGCGAACTACGGGGATCGGCTTCTTACACAGCCCTTCCCTGCCGGTGGCGGGTCAGGCGCTTCGCCAGCGTCTTTTGGAGCCTTTGCAACCGGTAGTTGCGTGCAGGATTCGCCACCTTAGTGTCTCGCAGCACCCAGTCGTACCACTTCCGCACCGCACTGATGTTTTGCTCAATCGTCACATACGCGTACTTGGTCGACGCCTTGGCCCGCTTCTTTGCCGAACGCTTGTAGATATCGCCGATGCGCTCGCCCCCGCGGCTCTTGTACCACGGCCCATTCATATACTCCGCATCCCCGCCCTTTTTGATGGATTCATGCCCTGTCGCCTGCTTCACTGCCCACTCCATGATCGCCACCGGGCTCGGCACACGAGGCATTGGAGGCATCTCCGCACTCAAGGTCGACTCCTCATCGCAGTGATTCTGCGGCACCTCCTCATAGATCGGCTCCAACCTGAAGAGCTGTGTTCCTTCTTCCCTCACCCAATGCATGAAGTCTCCGTGCCCAACGCGGCTCAACCAGTTCCCAAAGTGTCCGACCTTTCGGTCGCGATAGTCCATTGACCGTACCTCCGCGGCAGCGTCCTCGATGTTAGCATCGAAGTACTCGATAAAGTCGGCCTCGTGCTGAGCCGCGGCGCCGCTATCGTTTGCCGCGTACGCCTCGCGTCCGGGCAGCTCGTCCAGCGCCGCGTTGCCGCTCGGTCCCAGCCCGTTGATGTGGACCGACCGCCTGCACCACGCCTTCGACTGGAGGCTGCTGGCGCGATCCTGCCCGGTTCCGGAGCCGTCAACAGGCTTTGGCGTCGAGTGCATCTTCACGCGCCCATACACGTTCCCGGCTGTGGCTGACGCCATCGTGAGCAGCCCTTGTAGGAGCTGCTGTGCCTTTGACGGCGCCTTGGCCGCCCTCGCCGCCCGCGTGGCGGCCCTTGTCTTGTCGGCCTCCGCTGCTTCAACTATGCGCCTCTGCGTCACAGTGGGGCCACGGTTACGCCCCTGCTTAACGGCGGCCGCCGGCGCGCGAACCGGGTAGTACTTGTTCGTCTTGGCCATCGCCTGTTTCAATCGCGTGCTCGCTTCTGGGTATGTTTGCCCTTGGCTACGTTCGTCCTTGTCTCTTACACACGTGGCCGACCTCTTGTGCTCGCACCCTGGAGAATCTCTTTTGCTGTTACTCTGCTGCTAGCCTATCGCGTTACACCTTTGTTCTTCACCTTCCTACATACATACATACACCTTGCGGCGAGCATGCCTTGCGGCGTGCAGCCTACGAGCCTCGAGCGCTGGTCAAATTCTTTTCTCACTTCCCGGCGCGTTGCCCAGACCTCTGTTTTAACCCGGGAGCCTCACCCACAGCGCGTCCACGCTCAGTTTGCTGCGGTATTTGGCGACCTCCACACAAGCCTCTTTTAAGCATCGCAACTCTCAACTCGCTTTGAGCTCCTCGTACCTTACCTTCCTGCTGCCGCACACACGACAACAATCCAACCTGCGCTCACTCAACACCAGCTCAACACTGGGCAGTCACCGGCGCCGTCTTCACCATGTGTGTGTGTGCATGGCGCGCAAGCGCTTTGAGCTCTCCTTATGCATGGAAGATCTGTCATGCTGTCACAGACCGCCCATCAGAGAGTGCTTTTTGGAGTGTGCGGCCCTCCGGGGTGCACTAGCAGGGTGAGAGGCTTGCTGCTGCTTGCCACTCCTTTCAGCTCGCCAATCCCCGCCCGCCACAGCCATGCAGCTGGCCCGGCCGTACGCATTCCTTGCCTTTGCATGCGCTCGCCATGTCCGTTGTCAAGCCCGAGCTTGGACTTCAGCCCGATAGCTTTCCGGCCGGCCTCCTGTGGTGCTCGCCTGGCGCCACACGCCACCTTCGAACCCGACCTCTATTACAAGTTGTGATGGCACGGCCAACGGCCCGTCTCCATATGCACGCGGCCTGGAGGTTGCCCGCCTGGTGTGCTTCTCCTTTCGCCATCGGAACGCTCCTGCCGAGCCTCCCGTCTGCGACGCGTGCCGGTTCCGGGATGGCCAGCGGCAGTGACCTTTCTCTGTGCTTACGTCCCAGGCTTCTGCCTTCGGTGCCTCGGACGCCTCGGCCATGCACCTCTGAGTCGTGTTGGGTGGACACTGGACAGCGACCCCGCACGCCGACCAACCGCTGTCTCTGAGTGTAGCGCGATCGCCGGCTTGGTCGCCCTGACCACCGCTGCCAGCCGCTGGCGTCACTGCGTCCCTTTTGTCCCTTTTGCTGCCCCTCTTTGCTCCCTTTTCCCTCGCCGCGTAACTTGCGCCCCTTTTGAAAACTTTTATTTTGTTATATTAAACCCTTTTTTTCGGGGAGGTTTTTTGAGCTTAGCCTTCGATGTTTTTTTCGAAACTGGCTGGCCCGCCATCGTTAATTGTTCGCGCCGGCCGCCATGGACGCCCCCGATTCAGCCGCTGGCAGCAGCGGCTCCTCCGGCGGCGACAGCAGCGGCGCCGCCAGTAGCACCTTGCGAGAGCTCGTCGGCTTCGCCGCCTTTTGCCTGCTGCCGCTCTATGTCGCAGGCTCGCTGCTTTACCCGATGCGAGTGAGGGCGCTAGCGCTGCCGCGCCGTCTCTTCGCGTGCTCCTTCTCGCTGTCGCTGTGCCTCCTCCTCCTCGTCCTGCTCGACGTCGGCGAGCTCCTCTCCGCCACAACGGTGACACTTCTCCGAGTTGCCGCCAAGTCCGCCTCGCTCAAACATCTCGCACCTCTGCCCATGAACGTTGCCGCGCTGCCCACACCTTTTGCGTACCCACGGCTGAACGATAGCCTCCCTGTGCCTGTCCACGCGCCGCCACGCCCACGCGACGACCCTCGAGACCTCGCGATCTGACGCGTCCACGGCGCGCCTCTCTGACAGCGCGCCGCGCTGTGGCGAGCCTCTCTTCTAGCGCACCTCTCCCTGCTCGTGCTCTGGCTGCCGCTCGCGCAGATCGCGCTGCTGCTGCGGCGAACCACCGGCGTCTCCGTCTCCCGCGCCGTGCGCCTCGCCGCCCCTGCTCTCCACCCCACTCCCAACTGACTCACCAGCCAACAATTCACCGCCCTGCTGACTGCCTCTTCTAGCCTCCTCTTCAGGTGCGCCTCGCCGCCCCTGCTCTCCACCCCACTCCTCCCAACTGACTCACCAGCCAACAATTCACCGCCCTGCTGACTGCCTCTTCTAGCCTCCTCTTCAGGTGCGCCTCGCCGCCCCTGCTCTCCACCCCACTCCCAACGGACTCACCAGCCAACAATTCACCGCCCTGCTGACTGCCTCTTCTAGCCTCCTCTTCAGGTGCGCCTCGCCGCCCTGTCCGCCGACCGATGCGCACGGGCGCCTCCCGTCACACAGCGGGCGGTGTGTGGACAGGTCGGCCTCGCCGCCCCTCCTCTGCTCGCCTGGCTGTACGCCTTTTACCGCATCGGGGACCCCTTTCCGGCGAGCGAGTCAGGAGCAGTTCTCAGCCCTTCCTTTCACAGACCGGCGCAGCAGACACGCACTCCTCGAGCAGCCTTCAGACACAGAGACAGACACAGAGACAAGTACCGGACGCCCCGCACCACCTCGGAGCAGCCTCGCACACCCACGGCCGCAGCTTCCCTTCTCTCTCCACGCTCCTGCTGCCCTCTCGGACGTGTCTCAGCCGCGGCGAGATCTCGGCTGAACCTCGGCGCAATCTCGGCTGTATCTCGCAGGTGGACGACAGCGCCGTCGTCGCCTCTGACTCCCTCTCCGCCGTCCTGCACCTCTGCCTCAACCGAGCCGGCGCAGAGACAGCCGAGAGAGGCAGCCGAGAGGCAGCCGAGGTGCAGCCGAGGTACAGCCGAGGTGCAGCTACAGCCGAGGTACAGCCGAGGTACAGCCGAGGTGCAGCCGAGGTACAGCCGAGAGGCAGCCGAGGTACAGCCGAGGTACAGCCGAGGTGCAGCCGAGGTGCAGCCGAGGTGCAGCCGAGGTACGGCCGAGGTGCAGCCGAGGTGCAGCCGAGATACAGCCATGATGTGGCCGAGACGCAACCGAGAGACAGACAGAGAGAGACAGAGACAGAGAGAGAGAGGGAGAGGGAGAGGGCGAGAGAGAGAGAGAGAGAGAGGAGAGATAGAGACAGAGACAGAGACAGAGAGAGAGAGAGAGAGACAGAGAGAGACAGAGACAGAGAGAGAGAGAGAGAGACGCCCACGACACGCCCACGACACGTCCACGACACGTCCACGACACGTCCACACGACACGTCCCGCTGCCAGGCATCATCGGCGTCGCCGTCACCGCGGTGATGTCTGGCACCGGCGCCGTCTCTGCGCCCGCCGCAGCCCTCTCCCGCAAGCTGAGGCCGGTGGGGGAGGCGGAGCTGCGCGCGACGGAGCGAGCGCTGCTGGCGGCGCTGCACACGCTGCTGCAGGGCAGCCACTTCCTAGACACTCCCTAGACACTCCCTAGACACTTCCCAGACACTCCCTAGACACTTCCTACTCTGCACCCGCTGCTGCAGGGCACCCGCCCCCCCGGTGTGATCCCGCCGGTGTGATGCGGGCGGCACCTCCCTCCCTGACTGACTGGCTTCTGACTGACCGGGTCTCCTCCAGGCAACCGCCACCTCGCTGTCATGCGGAGCAGGCCTCTCTCGGAGCTATCTCGGCTCTATCTCCCACGCAGGAGATTCGAGACACCTCGGCACATCTCGGCACACCTCGGCTACACCTCGACACATCTCGGCTACACCTCGGCACATCTCGGCACATCTCGGCTACACCTCGGCACATCTCGGCACATCTCGGCACATCTCGGCACATCTCGACAGGTCGCTGAGTCCCCCGTCGCCGAGGGGCAGAGGAGGCGGAGGCGACGCAGGCGGGGCTTCGTTAAAGGAATCATTCATCAGTAACGAGATGATTCATCATTCACGAGAGGAGGCGACGCAGGCGGGGCTTCGTTCGCAGACGCACTCGGTTGCACCGCGGCTCACGTGACGGGCCTCTGCTTCTCCTCGAGCAATCTCGGGCAATCTCGTGCGACCTCGCGTGATCTCGTCAGGTGATGGGCTTCTACTTCTTCTCGAGCGTGCTGCTCGTGCGTGCGTCCCTCCCGTCGCGCCACCGGGGCGGGATCGAGTCTGCGGTGGGTGGGCTGGGCTTCGCCTTCCTGCACCACTGGTTCGACACGCTCTTCCTCAGCTCGGCCGCACTCACCGCCGCGAGCCTCGTCGCCTCCGCCACTCTCTTCTCGCACCGCCGCCGGCTCCGGCTCGACGTGGGCAGCTCGCAGAAGGTCTCGGGCGAAAGGCAGCGCCGCGCCGCGCCTTTTGCACCGCGCCCCGGCGAGAGGTCGGCGAGAGGCCGGCGAGGCTGTCGGTGTTAGGCAGCGCCACGCCGCCCTCGCAGCGCGAGAGCGAGCCGCCGCCGCCGCCGCGTTGGGCAGGTCTTGTTCACAACTGGGCAGCTCCTGTTCACACCTCGGCAAGCCCGGTTCGAGCTCGACGGCTGTTAAGGCTGCCAGCCGGCCAGGCACTCCCCTCGCGACCCCGAGATGGCGCGAGATGGCTCGAGATGACGCGAGATTGCCCGCCGGCCAGGCACCCCCTCGCGGCCCGCGTCGGTTGCACCGCCGCCCGTCTCTACCTCGCCAACGGCGGCGACAGCGACAGCGGGCTTCTCGGGCGGGGGAGGCGCCGTCTCGCGGCTTCGCTGCGGCGTCGCGAGATCGGCCGAGATGAGATGAGATGAGCCGAGATGGTCCGAGGCTGTAGGTGCCGCCTCGCCCGCCTCGCGCGGCATCAGCCCCGCCTCCTCCAACGGCAACCTCTCCGACCCCGCCCCCTCCGAGCACCCCTCCCTCTCGGCGGCTGCCGACGCCGCCGCAGCGCAGAGGCCGAGGGAGGGGGCGCGGGCCGAGCACCCGCCGACCGCTCTTCCGTTGGGGATGCGGCAGCGCAGGGCGGCGGCGGCGGGAGGGAGGGGAGTGGTGCGAGGGCCCCGCCCCGCCTCGCCCGCCGCAGGCCTCGCCGCCAGCAGCGCCTCCCCGCCCCGCTCGGCCGCCTCTCCGGCGCAGCTGCCGGCGCTGCTGCCGCTCGGAGGAGGAGGCGCGGGGGAGGAGGAGGCGATCATTCGCAGCCTTCTCTTTGGTGCACAACCCCCTCCTCTCTCCTTTAGGCGCGGAGACGCAGGAGGCGATCGCGGCGACGATGGCGGCCGCCAGCGCCGCCGCCGCGCGAGGGCCGCGCGCTCTCGTCGAGTACGTCGCGCTGCTGGACGCGCAGGGGATGCTGTGACGAGCGGGCGGTCGAGCACGGTGTTAGTATTATATCGGTGGAGGCGGGAGACGCGTTGTCCGTGTCTCTCGTCTTTTTCCTTGCTTTTGAGTCAGAGTCTTTTAAGCTCGTTTATGAGAGAATTGAGAGCATCTGCATGTGTGGTCCATGGACTTCATGTGGAGGCTGGAGCGAGGCGCGGGCGCGCCGACCGGGCGTGCCCCGGCGCTGTGCACCTGTGAACCCCCGGACACGACACATCGCCCCGCGTCCCGGCGTCCCCCGCGAGACAACCGTCCGAGAAATATCGCGTGCCTCGCCGGCCCGGCGAGTTTGCTAGAGGCGGAGCAGCGTGCTCTAGTACGGCTTTAGTCTCAAACGTCGCGTGCCCTGTCGCCTGTTTGTGTTGTTCCTGCTCTTGTTTGTGCCCGTGGCACCTTGGGTGCTGGGGGGCGACGGACGGGGGGGGGGGACGTTGCCGCGAGTGGCGTAGTGCCGTACGCTTACTCGTGATGTGTGGCAGCCCAGCTGGCTGAGTGTCTCGTGAGCTTGTGTGTGTCTGTGTGTCGCTCGTGCGTGTCGTCATCATCTGTCTCGCGTCCATCCATACCGGGCGCTGGTGTCCAGGTCCGAGCTAAGCAGCGCCCGTCGAACACTGACAAGCGCCGCCGGGGAGGCGCGCGTCGCGCTCCTGGCCGGCGGGCGCGTCGGACGGGACATCCTGCGAATGCCGGCGTACCGGATCCCGCCCCTGACCGGGGTCGGCGAGGGCGGGGACGCAGAGACGCTCGCAGGCCTCTACGAATGGGCGGCGGAGTGCGAGGGGATTGCCATGCGGCCGCCTCCCGAGGACCTGGTCCCCCGCCCGCCCATTCGTATGAAAAAGGCACGCAAGGATCCGGTACACCGACGTGGCCTTCACCGACGGGAGTCTGCAACCGGCAACAAGGGAGGAGCCTGCCCGAGTTGCGTTTGGGATATACGCGACAGGGACGGGCTTTCGTGGGGCGGATGTGCACGGGGGCGCGCTTCCGTCGGGTGCCACAGTGCAGGACGCGGAGACCACGGCGGTGTATGCGTACCTGGCCAGGACGGTGCGCCGCGCCCGCGGGCGGGATGCCAAGGTAAGGGCTCTTGTTCTGGTGGACTCCAGCAGTACCCTCGTCATGATAGAGGCGGCGAGAAGGGCGCGATCACTGCGGGCTCTGCGAACAATGCACCGGCGGCAGCTGCTCGAGCGGATTGTTGAACTCTGCAACGACCGCGCCGAGCGAGTGGAATTCATGTGGGTCCGAGCGCACCGGGGGGTGTACGGCAATCACTATGCGGACACCATCGCCAATGCGTACCTCGCCACGCAGCCGAGGGACCTGCAGCAGCTGGTGGAGGAATACAGCGGAGGGCTCCATGATCAGAGGGGAACGAGGGTGTTCTACCAGGTTCCCAAGCGCGGAGAGCGAGGCCGGGTGTGGCAGGCGTACCCGGGGGACCGCAACCCACTGAGGATGAGCCGCTCCAGACTAGCGGCATGGTCGACACGCAGGCTGGCTGGCGAGACCTCGGGCAGCCCATGCCACACAGGAGTGGACAGCTTCCCAGTCATGGACTGGGACGCGATCTGCGAGGGCGCGCCGGGCAGCGTGTGGGCCGCGCTCGCAAGGGCGCCGGAGAGGTGGCGGGGGTCCTCTGGCGGGGCCAGAAGGGCCACGGTCACCGGAGCGATCATGATGGTGCGCGCCAACATGATGGGGCTGCCTGCCGACTACTGTAGTAGCGATGCGGCCGCCGACAAGGAGGAGTGCTCGGCCTGCGCGACGGTCGATCGCACGGATCTGAGGCTGGCGCTGAGGTCCGTCTGGAGCCTCGGGACCCGAGGGGACCCCTCCGTGGCGACAGAAGATGCACTTTGGGGGCAAGACGATTACCGTGGGATCATACGGAAAGCTGAAAATTGGCAATGAAATCGGTGGGTTTAGCGATAAGCACGTCACGTTATGGGAGACGATCCGTTGCTTCGACTGTGATCATCAAAATACTTCACTTCATCACCTTCACGTCCATGTCCGCGCCAGCAGCGCCCGAAGCTGGGGCAACATTGTAAGTCCGGGGGGCAGGTTGGTCGTGGATAACCTTCTTGGCAGGGGTAGACGTTGGGGTCGGTGGCGTCGGGGATGCCGTCGCTGTCCGTGTCGACGGTGCCCTCCTCGGCGTCGGGGATGCTATCGCCGTCCGAGTCGGGGTCGGTGGCGTCGGGGATGCCGTCACTGTCCGAATCGCCCGTGCCCTCCTCGGCGTCGGGGATGCCATCGCCATCCGAGTCGGGGTCGTTGGCGTCGGGGATGCCGTCGCTGTCCGAATCGCCCGTGCCCTCCTCGGCGTCGGGGGAGCCGTCGCTGTTACAATCCACCTCGGACAAGCGCCGCGCGGGGTGGCCGAACGCAGCCTCGGCCCCCGGTCCGCCGCCCTTGTCGTCACCGTCATCCACCGTCGAGGCCTCGCCGGCGGCAAGAAGCCCCCCGGCGGCCGGCCTCTTGCTGTAGAAGCGAGAAAAGGCAAACGCGACCGAATCGCCAGAAGGCAGCTCATAGTCCTTGGCGGCGCCCTCGATGGCGCCCTCAGCCATCGCCGATGTGCGGAAGCGCCCCTCGGTGGGGTAAAGGTCGCGCTTGCCATTGCGCGGCCCGGACGACGAGAAGCTCTGCCCGACGAGGCCTGCGAGACGCCATTTCAAGTGGGAGAGGGGGGGGGGGGGTGATGGGACCGAAGAAAACGCTGAGCGATGAATGTGCCAGGCGTGTGTGCGAAGCACGCGTCACGGATGGGCAGGCCGCAAGCGGTGGCAGTGCGGCGACGCGAGGGGCTAGGCGCGAGGGGCTCGGCGCGCCGTGCGTCTGCCCGAGCGTGACTGGCGCAGTGGCGCGAAGGGAGAGGTCGATGCGGTGCTCTGGGCCCGCGATGCGGCCGTAGACGTGATTGCCCCGCGCAGTCGCCTGCCACTCTGGGGTGGTGAAGGTGGCGCTGGCGTGCTTCGTCTCGACGATGAGGGTGCCGCAGGAGTAGGACCGGCCTGGGCCCAAGAAGAAGTTGCGCTCGCCGCAGAGGCCGGTGATCATGTTTTTCCCTGTGTTGAACTCGCTACGGGACAACATGCACAACATGCACATGCAACCATACATGTGCATGGACATGTCAGCGGGGCTGCCTCGGACTAATCCCCTCTGAGAGCGCGCACTTGAGCTCGTTGGCGCGGAAGACTGCGTGGACGAGCTCGCCCTCCTTTCGCCCCTTTGCGATGAAGTGCGCCTCGGTGATGAAGGAGCCGTCCACAGTCAGCCTGCCGTCGTGGAGCGTGAAGGTGGCATCCTGCGAGGGGCAGAGCGGCTGGGTGAAGCCTACTGGAGCTTCATTCGCGGCCATGGACCTCAGCGCAAACCTCAGTCTTGATGTTGATGGCAAAGAACGGGGAGCTGTGGAAGCAGTACATCAGCCTGCGTGGGGCAAGCAGCACATCACCCTGCGAGCATGCGGGCAGCGGGGCGAAGGGTTGATCACGCGGCGATCACACCCGCTGCGACCGCGAAAGTCGGCGCGCCCCCCGCGAGCGAACGACAGGTGCGGATCTTTGATGCCCTCGACAACGGCATCACAATCAACTGCCTCGGTGCGTCGTCGTATTTCGCGCCCGGTCGCTTTGAGTTGACCGAGTTCTGTAGCCTGGGCCGCCAACTGCTTCTTCAGCGCCCTGGCCTCCGCCGCCCGGGCCGCAGCCCGCTGCTCCATCTTTGACTCCATCTCCAACATCTTAGCGTTCATGCGTTCAATAATCTGCGCAGCCTGCGCGGCCTTCTCGACCTCGGCAGCTAGTTGCAAGCGCGAGATGTCCGAGACCTTGTCATCTCCCCGCACCAAACAATGAGAGGCAAGGCCGATGAACAGCACCCACAAGGGTGCTCTGCCTCGCATGACGCCCCGAGTCGGGCGATCGCCACGAATCGATGCGACGTCTCCGACGGACCAGGCTTATGAAGTTCGATTATTGCTTTCTGCGGGGAACTTGAGCACTGGATAGGGTCGGTTCCGCATGGTACGGGACCCCTCGATCGTCTCGCCCACCCTCACTGGGGTGTTCATGGGGGGGGGTCATAACAAACACGGTACAGGATCGAGGTGCACGCTGCTGAAGCAGTGTCGTCCCCCCTCTCCCCGACGGCGATGGCGGTGTGACCGATCGAGCTACAAGAGGAGCTTGTTCAGCAGGATCCGGGATTAGTCTGATGCACTGCCTCACTGGGTCTGAGACCACCGAGACGCACCCATCACCGTCTCGGATTCATGTGGGATCGAACCACTCCGGGATGGGCAAGCCCATCATTCATTATGAGTCGTCGTGCAACATCTGCACAGGTGTACCGCCGACGCATCCTGAGCGAACTTCCACACACTTTGATGCGCCAAAGCACTTGGAGCACTTGGAGTGCAGTCATTATTGATTGATTGATGGGAAGGCGAAACACAGTCCGACCAACGACTGGGACACCAACGCGGTATGGGTGGACGCTAGTCATTAACCGCACATCCAGGGCCGGGGACGCAGCAACCTTTTCTTTTTTTGAGAGCGCCTTCGTTGTTAATAGTACAAACCCAATGGTCCCTTGCGAGCGGTCCGTCGTTGCAGTCGCACACACTCACACGCCACGCCGCACCGCGCGCCCACCCGCTGCCCTGGCGCGAGAAGAGTTCTTTCACGAACTGCCGCGCGAAGGTGAGCAAATGGCGCGGCGCGGCCACCTGGTTCCCAGTTCGGTGCCCACTTCGAGCAGCGATCCAGCGCCGGCCCTCACCCTCCGGAAGGAGGACAAGCTCGCGGGACACAACGGCCGCGTCTTTGACCTGCAAGCCTCGGTCAAAGACCTCTCGTCCTCACAGCCGCTCCGCATCGCGGCGGTCGGCGAGAAGGGCGGCTCTGTCTGGACCTTCGATGGCGGCGCGCGCAGGCACGTCCGCCTGCCCGGCACCGAGCTCATGCGCGTGTGCTGGCACCCCGACGGCGAGCACGTGCTGACCGGCAGCGCGGAGGGCGCGATCTGCGTGCGCGATGCCTCGAGCGGCCAGACGAGCGCGACGCTGCAGGCGGCGAGAGAGGACGAGGTGTATGGGCTGGAGGTGCTCTCGGAGGAGGGACTGCTCGCCGCCGGCGCGGGCGAGACGGTGCAGCTCTGGGACCTCAACCGGGCGACGCGCACCTCCCTCGCCGCCTTCACCGCGACAGAGAGCGGAGTCCACTTTGGCGTGCGGACACTTCCGAGACACGTCCCCACCCGCCCTTGCTGCGAGGCGCGCCGCTTCCCGCGCGTCCGGCAGCCCAGTCTGCGCACCTCCCTGCCGGACAGGCGGCTTGCGCAACCCGGACCGAAAGGCGTTTGTCTTTTCGATCGCTGCGCGCGGCCGCATCCTCTCCGCCGCTCTGTCGGACGGCTCTCTGCGGCTGCTCGACTCCGAGACGCTGCAGGAGCTCGCCACGCTCTGCGTGTCGAACGAGGCGCCCTCCCTCGCCACCGCCCCCCTCGGGCCACCTCGGGCCATCTTGGGTACTCTCGGGTACTCTCGGGTACTCTCGGGTACTCTGGGGTACTCTCGGGTCATCTAGGGTCCTCTCAGCTCATCTCGGGTACCCTCAGCTCATCTCGGGGTCATCTTTAATGGCACTCAGGCGCCCGCCCTCGCCACCGCCATCTCGCCGACCTCCCCGCTGCTCGCCTGCTCCGACCGCGCGGGGGGAGTGCTGCTGTGGGATCTGAGGCAGCTCGGCCGAGGTGAGCCCATTCGTTAATGTTAATTAGCTGTGGGATCTGAGGCAGCTCGGCCGAGGTGAGCCCCGAGATCTCGGCTGTCCTCGGCTGCATCTCGACTGCACCTCGACTGCACCTCGACTGCACCTCGGCTGCACCTCGGCTGCATCTCGCATCTCGGCTGCCTCTCGGCTCCTCTCTGCTGCATCTCGCATCTCGGCTGCTTCTCGGCTCATCTCTGCTGCATCTCTGCTGCCTCTCGCATCTCGGCTGCACCTCGGCTGCACCTCGGCTGCCTCTCTGCTGCCTCTCTGCTGCCTCTCTGCAGGGCCCCTCGGGGAGACGGAGTCGAGCGGTGGCGGAGCCGTGCACTCTGTCCGCTTCGTGCCCGGCGAGCCGCTGCTGAGAAGGGGAGAAGGTGGGGGGGCTCTTGGTGGACCCTTGTCGGACCCTTCCTGCAGGCGAGCTGCTCGTCACGGGAGGAGACCGGATGATTACTTAATTAAGTTAGACTGGTTGAAGCCTGCAGGCGAGCTGCTCGTCACGGGAGGAGACGACCGGAGGCTCTGCGTGCACGAGGCGCTACTTACTAACTAGTTGAGATTAGTTAATCAGTTAATTAGTTGATCAGGCTCTGCGTGCACGAGACGCGCACCGCACAGCTGGCGCTGCAGTGCTGTGCGAGCGTGCTCTCGCCCTTGCTCTGTGTCGACGCCGCCGCCGACGGAGCGAGCACGCGGCTCGCCACCGCCGGCGGCTCGATCGGCCTCGTCTCCGACTCGAACATCGGCCTGTGGAGGCTCGGTGCCGAGCAGGAGCAGAAGCGGCCGGAGGAGGAGGGCGGCGTCCCCGGCGCGGAGGAGGGAGTGTGCATGGTGTGCCGCCCGTGTGGGCAGTGACGGACGCTTCTTCGTTGGTGTGCGTCTGGCTCTGAGAGGGGTGTGACAACTCATTGGAACGGGGGTGCGTGCTACAGCCTGACACAGCACCTCCACCTGGTGGAGTAGACTGTAGAGGAGTAGCACACGTCCTCAATCGTCCCAACCTGGCTTTATATTTGTTCTCATATACTCGTGTGACACGACCACTGTCGTGAACATTTCTCATCCAGACGCGGGGCACGGAGCGCGGCACGGGCCACGGCGCCCCACTTCGCTCGGCGGTTCGGTCAGGTTCCAAATCACCTCAGAAGAATCCGGAAGGACCACGATCGTACGCGAGCCTCCTGAGAGAACCGGCGGCGCCGCCGCGTTAAAGCCCTTCGATGCTTCAGACAAGTAAGTCGCGCAGCAGCTGTCCTTCCTCCTGGACAGCTGCGTTCTCTGGGTGCGCCTGCAGCGCCGCTGTCGCCGCCTCGGGCGCGCGTGCAGTCACAGCACGCCGCCTCCGCGCCCGCGCCGCGGCGTCGGTGCCTGAGCACACGTTGCGCAGCGCCCAGCACCCCATGTCCTGCACATCCTCCACCTGCGGGTGAGCCTGCAGTGCCGCCACCACCGCCTCGATCGCGCCCGCGTCGGCTGCGCGCTGTATGCGTGCGAACCCTGCGGCGTCGGTGCCGAAGCAGACGTTGCCCAGCGCCATGCAGCCATGCTGTTGCACGATCGCCACCTGCGGGTGAGCCTGCATCGCCGCCACAGCCGCCTCGATAGCACCCGCGTCTGCTGCGCGCTGGCTGCGTGCGAACCCTGCGGCGTCGTCGCCGGCGCACACGTTGCCCAGCGCCCGGCAGCCTTCCTCTTGCACGCCCGCCTCCTGCGGGTGAGCCTGCATCGCCGCCACGATCGCCTCGATCGCGCCCGCTTCCGCCGCAGGTTGCCTGTTATGCACCTCTTTGCACAGAATAGCCAAGCGCTTGCATGCCGCAACAGCAACGCGGCTATCCGACACGTGCACGCGCAGCGCCGCCGCCGCCGCCGCCACGTCCATCGACCGCACCTCCGCATTGCTCGGGGGCGCGTCATGCGGCGCAGCGCCAACGCGCTGCCGCACCCGCCGCCCTCCCTCCTCGCCGCCCTCGCCCGCCTCCAGCGCCACCACGCGCGACCGCAGCTGTGAGTTCTCCACTCCCTGCGCTGCCAACTGAGCCTGCAGCGGTGCCAACTGGGCTTGCAGCCGCTCGTTCTCCGCACCCTGTGCCGCCACTTGGGCTCGCAGCGGCGCCATCATGCGCTGGCACACGGCGAAGGGGCACGTCGCCTCGTGCGCCGCCTTGTCTGCCAGCAGCCCCGACCACGCGCAGCCAGCCTCCGCCGCGGCGCACGCGCGCGGCCGCTGCGGGCAGCCTTGCTCGTGGGCGGCGAGTTCGCCGCGGGTCGTCGCCAGCCCGCAGTGCGAACACGCCGCCGGCAGCGCCGCGATACTCTCCTCGTGGCTTCGGCATCGAATCGCCTGGCTCAGCGGTCCGAGAGCCATGCGGCACTCGGGGCAGAGGCGCGGGGCTCGCAGGCTGGAGTCGCAGGAGGCGCAGAAGACGTGGCCCTCCCGGCACTGGTGCTGCTGCCCGTCCTGCACCTCCAGGCAGACGGGGCACTCCAGGCGCTGGGCGGCCATTCTCACTCAGAAAAAAGAAATGGGAACCTTCAAACCGCCAATGGCAGTTATCCGTTGTGCGGACGTCGCCGCGGCTCGCCTCTGCCGCGGCGGCTGCTGCGCGCACGCGGCGGCGCCGCTCTCTCGCGAGACGGCTGGCGACGCGGCTCGCCGCCGACGTACGCTGCGCTCGTCCGACGGTCCGCAGCGTGGCGTGCGCGGCGCTGCGCGCCGCTCTGCGAGCGCTTCTGCGCCTGCACTGCCTCTCTCTGTTGCTGCTGGTGGTGGTGATGGTGCTGCTGGTGGTGCATATGCTGCTGCTGGCGCGGCGCGGCTCTGCGACTGGGCTCGACGCGCGCGTCGCGAGCATCTCACCCGGCGGGCGGCGTCGGGCAGGTGCAAAAAATCTCTGGTGGTGGTGCTGCTGCTGCTGCTGGTGGTGGTGGTGCAGATGCTGCTGCTGGTGCGGCGCGGCTCTCCGACTCGACTCGAGGCGCGCGTCGGGGCAATCTGACGCGGCGGGCGGCGTCGCGGGCGGCAGCGATCGCGGCTCGAAGGTGGAGGTGGAGGCTGGTGGCTGTGGTGGACTTTGAGTTTATTTCATGATGGACTAAGAGGACTGGGGCGGCGCGGCGCGGCGACGGGCGGCGCGAGGCGGCGGCGCGGCGCGGCGGCGCGTATTACAAGAGCAGCGAGAGGCGCGGACGGCGCGAGGTGGCGGCGCGACTGCGCGGCTCGATTTAGTTATTCATATTGGGTAACCTGGAGGGATATGAGTTGACGTATTCCACGTCCTAACCTCATTCGTTAATCCATTAATTAATTACGTATTGTATTCCGCGTCGGGTATTCGTAAGTATTCCAGGAGAAGAACAAGGGAGGGCGGCGAGGCGGAGCTGTCTCGAAGCAGCGTACCACCACCCACGCTGTAGATGGACAGAAAACTGCAATTCCCTTCCCCCCTCGGAGGGGGCCGGAGGAGGCGTACCCCGAGGACCCGCTCTTTCCCCTTCCCCCCTCGGAGGGGGCCGGGCGAGGCGTAACCCGAGGGCCCTCGCCCGCTAGGAATAGTCTTCCCTGACCCCGCCCGCCTGCCCGCCTGCCCTGCCCGCCTGTGGTTGATAAGATCTTTTCACCTTGACTTGGTGGAGTACAGGCGCGGGGTGCGTGTGGTTGAGACTGAACTGGCTCGCCTGCTAACCTCGAAGGCGGCTGCCGTCCACCCGTCGCTGCTCAGGCCGGGGGAGGGGGGGAGACCTCCTGTTCCTCGCGGAACGGGAGTAGGCCCCTCCTTGCGCCCGGTCAGGAAGCAGGGCGGTGGTCGTGCCATCGTCGCTTCGAACTCGAAACCACCGACACACGCCGCATTCGTCGTCGGCGCGCGACAGGCTCCCGTCGGCCGGACTGCCCTCGACGAGTGGGTGTCGCCAACCAAAGCGACACGCACTCGAGGGTAGTGCCGACGGGACGCGGCTCGAGGGCGACTCTCGCGAAGGCACGGCTGGCAACCGTGGCGCGGGGCTCGCGCTCGACAAGACCGGGATCGCTCTACCGGCAAACATCTCGCTGACATGCGCGCCCGGTCGAGCTGACGGCGGGCGCGCTGCGGTCGCACGCCTCCCAAGTCATATGCCACGGCGTGCGATCTAGAATCAGCACACGCGCCTCTGCTTGCATACACTCATACATTGGATTGTCATTGCCTGTGAGTGCGAGATAGGGCTAGCGGCTGGCGGCTAGCCCCTGAGGAGAGTGACCAGAGACACCTCACATGACCCCACACACGGTCTAGTCCGGCCTCGCGGTCGGCGGAGATTGCTAGAGGCCGAGCAAGCCTGCTCTAGCCTCACGCGTTCGCCCCTGTTGTCTGTTGTTTGTTGTGCCCTTGTTTGTTTCTCTTGGCACCTGGGAGTGCTGGGGGGGGCGACAGGGAGAATGTGGCCCTGAGTTATGTGTACGCCAACTCAGGGTGTGTGGCAGCCAGCTGGCTGTGTGTCTTGTGAGCTTGTTTGTGTCTGTGTGTCGTTCGTGCGTGTCGTCATCATCTGTCTCGCGTCCACCCATACCGCGCTGGTGTCCAGTCCGAGCCTGGCTCGTGGCTGTTCTTCACCTTTCTACCTACCTACCTACGCAAGTGAGTGTAGAGTGGTGGTGCGTGCAGTGTGGTGTTCATTAGCTCCGAGTAGAGGGGGCGGGTCCTGCAGTTAAGGGGAAACCCGGTACGCGGGGCTAACCCTCGGAGACCCGTATTTACTTTACGGCCCTTTCCCTGCGAACGCGCACCCCCCCCCTAGCTAGGGGTCAGGGCTCTCTAGCCCGTAGCCCGATGCGGCCATATCTCGGTAACTATTGATGGTCCACCAGAAAACTCTCTTCGGATTTGGAACGGGGGCCCGGCCCCCGTTCGAATGGCGATGTCCGATGAGTTCTCCGGTGGACCATCAATAGACAATAGTTACCGACGCGGATGGCCGCTCAAAGTCTGAGACCTGTCTCACAAAAGTGATGCACGTATTGGGAGCGCGACTGCCAATGGGGGGGGAAAACGAAATTCCACGTGCCGCCAAGTGCCGCGCGCGCGCGCCAGTTTCGTACCGCGACTGAGAAACGACACCATCTCTCCTGGAGATGCCTGCTCTATTTATTTTATGAGAAACGACAGCGGCGAGGTCTTTTACCGGCCTGCCGGTGCCGCCCACCGCCACGCGTCCAGCAGAGCTAGCTCCAACGCGGGAAAAGGCAGCTCACACACTGCAGCCGGAGGGTGCACCCTCGGCAGCACCGCCAAGCGACCGCGCCGCCCTCGCCGCCCTCGCGCGCCCCTGCAGCGCCTCGGCGGCGCCTCAGTCAGCTGGGACGAGCGCGTTGTAGTGCTCTCCGAGGCCGTAGTAGTGGCGGTGGTATGCCTGCGTCGTCAAGTGCCGGTCGGGTGACCCTGTGATGCGCCCGTGCCGTTGTGTGGAGGAGGGGTGGCAGGGAGGGGGGGCAGGGAGAGGGCAGGGAGAGGGCAGGGAGAGGGCAGGGAGAGGGCAGGGAGAGGGCAGGGAGAGGGCAGGGAGGGGGGGGGGGGGGGGCCAGGCAGGGGGGAAAGGGAGGGGAGGCAGGGAGGGAATAAAGGGGGGGAGAAGGCCAGTTTCAGCCCCGGCCCGTTCCCCTCGTACTCGGCCCCGGTGAGCAGCACCGGCGCGTCGGCAGAGTGCACCTGTTCACAGCGCACTCCGTTGAAGGAGACGCCGCCCAGAGCCGGCGGCGGGCGGCGAGGCGGCGGGAGGGGCCGCGATGCAGCGGCGAGACGCGTGCGCGATGGCCGTGATCTCGAGCTGACCTCCCCACTCGGAGGAGAGCTCCACCTGGTGTTAATTAATTAATTCATAATTAATTAATCATCTCGAGCTGCCCGCCCCACTCGGAGGAGAGCTCCACCTGGTGGTGGTGTGCCAGTGCATGCCTTAATGAGCTGCTCGCCTCGAGCCCGAAGGGCCTCACCCCCACCCCCGCACCTGCGAGCAGTACGACTCGAGGAGCCCGTCCGAGAACTCGTGCTCCTAGATGTGTATATGCAATGAGAATCGTAATGTAATAATAATAACGAGGAGGCGCCCGTCTTAGAAGTCGCGCTCCTACACTCAACTCTCACCCCACCGGCTGAGGAGCTCTTCGCAGGGCGGGAGGGCAGCCCGCCCGACAGGTCGTGCGCCGCGAGGAGGAAGGGGAGGAAGTCGTCGGCATGCGAGCGGATGTACTCGGCCGCCAGCCTGGACGCAAAGGGGTCATCACAAACTAGGGGTCCAAGGACACGACTCCTCTCGACAAGAATAAGAAGGGGAGTGTGCTCGGCCGCCAGCCTGGAGGTGCGGGGGAGGGGACGCGGGCTCGGGCCGGGAGGGGCGAGGCTGCGTGAAACTACGCCAGCGACATCTCTCGGCGAGATCTACATCTCGGGAGATTCCGATCTCGCCTGCGGCAGTGGCGGAAATCGAGAGCAGACGCCTCGTCGCCCGCTGCCAGCTGGTGGGCGATCGAGCGGTAGAGGCAGTGCCTGCGACCAGACGCGGCTGCCGTCTGCCTCTCTTCACAGCGGTGCCTCGGGGCGGGCGGCAGCGGCGTGTCTGCCCGTCCGCAGCGATCTCGTGCAGCCGGAGCTCGTGTGGCGCCAGAGCGGCCGACAGCCTGAGGGAGGCGCGGGGCCGACTCCGCCGGTGAATGATGGAACGCCCTCCGTGAGGCGGCGCGGCGCGAGGGCGGGCGAGCGCCGCTTCAGCTCCTCCTCACGCAGCGACGGGCCCGCCTTTGCCCGCGTCTCTCCGATCCGCCTCTCCCTCTCCCTCTCCTCCTCCTCCTTCCGCTGCCGCGCCCGCGCCGCCTTGCTCCCCTTCTTCCCGCCGCCTCCGCCGCCGCCGCCTCCGCCGCCACCGCCGCCGCCGCCGCCGCCGCCGCCGCCGAGCGACATCTGGGCGATTCCGTCGGCCGCAGCATCGCCGCCCGCCGCAGCCACTTCCGCAGCCTGCCGCTCCCGCATCGCCGCAAGCGCCGCGTCGAGCTCTTCGTCCGCCGCGGCGCGGCCGATGCGGTCCGCCTTGGGGAGAGCAAACTTCTTCTCCTTGGCCTCGGTCCGCAGCCGCTGCTCCTCCTGCCGGTGCGCCTTGAGCAGCTGCTTCAGATCCGCGGCGCCCACACTGGAAGCCTTTGCCGGTACCTTGGCAGCTGGCGCGGCCGGCGCGGCGGCCACGTCGTCAGAGTCGGAGCCGCTGCCGAAGTCAAATATGGAAAGGTCTGGGCCGTCGCCACCGTCAGACATGCAGGGCTTGCGTGCGAAGATGCTGCAGCGGTGCGATCAGCGGTTTAGTGCGAAGAAGCTGCGGCCGCGAGGCCGGGCTTGCAACCAGCTTTTCTTTTTTCAAATCCTCTCGAGGTTAGCAGGTGGATATCCTTTGGCCGCGTTGGGTAGCGAGGATTGGTGTAACCCGAGCCACGGAGGCGTGTTTTCTGACGGCCGACCGTCAGTGCACGGAGTTGCCCCTTCTCCGACTGCCCCGGCTAGTTCACGGGTTTCGCGGGAGTGACCCCTTCGTCCCCCGAGACCTAGCGCGGGTGGGTTGGAGGGGGCTCGCCCCGTTCCTCCCCATCGGGCCGCGTGAGCGGCCTCGCCTCGCAGATTCGTTTCTCGCGCCTGGGTCAGGCGCGCGGGGCATCCCCCGGGTCGCTCGACCAGCGATCCGAAGAGTGGCCGCTATGCGAGGGAAAGAGCGGGGCCCACGGGGTACGCCTCCGTCCGGCCCCCTCCGAGGGGGGAAGGGAATTGTGGGGTCCCCACGGGCGCCTCAATTCGGCCCTCCCGAGGGGGGGGAGGGGAGCAAGGGGGTGGGGGGATCGGGGCGGGGGGGGAGGGGTCTCGGTTTCATGGGTCTAATGCTTGCCTTTCGGGGAGGGGCCTCAGGAAAGGCGCGCATGCAGCCCTACGTCTTCCCCTCCTCCCCAGAGGCAGCGAGTAGGCCGCGAGTGGAGGACTCGAGCGCCTACACGTTTGTGCGAGTGGCGATGGCAAGGGGCGCTCTCTGGGGGCGGGCGGGCGGGCGGACGGGCGGGCGGGCGGGCGGGCGGGCGGGCGGGCGGGCGGGCGGGCAAAGTATCTGGGAGCGGCGTTCGTAGCAGCAGTTGCGGCGGCAAGTGCGATGTGAACAGTAGAAGTGCTCCGACGGTAGCAGCAGCATGCAGCAGCAGCAGCAGCAGCAGCAGCAGCAGCAGCCTCGCCTCCTGCGGTGTCTAGCTCTTGCAGTCTATCTAGGCGGCCGCGAGGTTAATATACCAAATAATGGTGTCAAAACACCGGGGGGTGGTCGGCGCGCAGGCACCTGAGGGGCTCCCGCCGAGCGCGCATTCCGCTCGGCGTCTACCCCTCCACATCAACACATGAGCTCTCTCCTCCACACACGATCGTCACGGCACGCTCACTGTCACGCGCTCCCTCTGTTTCTCTCTCCCAGTTTGTCTACCTACCTTTGTCTTGTGAGCTTGTTTGTGTCTGTGTGTCGCTCGTGCGTGTCGTCATCATCTGTCCAGCGTCCACCCATACCGCGTTGGTGTCCAGTCCGAGCCTGGCTGTTCTTCACCTTTCTACCTACCTACCTACTCTCCCAAATAAATAAATAAAACGGACACCTCTACTAGGAGATGGGTAAAAAGGAACAGGTCCCCGCCCTGCGGTCTTTGTGCAGGGTTCTTTGTGGGTGTGGTCGGCGACTAGCCGGGGTCGTCCTCCCGATGGGGGACTAGCACTAGCCGTCTTCCACATGGTCCCTCGGGTCCCTGCTGCTCCTAATCTCGTCGTACATCCTCCTGCTGATCTCAGCAACATCCTGCTCCCTCCCTCGTCTCGCCCTGCGCGTCTGCTCCGCCTCCCCGTCGTCTGCCCTGCGTCGTCTGGTGACGGGTCCTCCGTAGTCGGTCGAGGTCGCCGCCCTCCTCGTGCCTCTTCCCAACGTAACAAAACTCTCTCTCTCTCTCTCCCAACGTTTCCTCGGCGGCCGATGCCGTCTGCTCCGACTCCGCCGTCCCCGGGTCTGCCCTGCCCTCGTCTGCGCTAGCTTCTGTTTCGTCATCACTGATGTCCGTCCTCTTCTTCTCCTCTTCTTGTACTCTCCCATCCCTCCCGGGGTTGTCTGTTTTATCTTTCCTTTCTTTGCAGGTTTCTTTCTTTTTCGAGCGGCACTGTACACAATCTCTCTCTCCCCACAGAAGCCACATACCGGTAATAGAAGTGGCGGCACCGCCGGCGTCGAGCGAACGGGTAGGAACATTGTACAGAGAAGAGGAGAGGAAGGGGGCGCCGAAGCGGCCTGGTGCGCTCGCACATGCCATCAGTGACCGGAAGGCCGCCCTCGCCCTCGAGCAGAGGCGGCGCGAGGAGGGCGCGGCGTCGCGGCCGACGTGCGACAGCGACGCCTCGGCGGTGGAGGGGCGTCGTGGGGGGGTATACAAACACATCGGGTGGGCGGCGGCGGAAGGGGCGAGAGCCCCCTCCCGAGCGGTGCCTAAGCCGCCGCGACCTTGCCGTCCATTTTCTCGATGGCGTTGATGCGATCCGAGATGCTCGGCGGCGCGGCCTCCGCCTGTCCGCACCACCGCGCCGTGAAGAGACGCCCCGATCACAGCTGCGGCTGTCAGCGGCTCAGCGCCCGCTCCTCCTCCTCCGCCGCCGCGGGCGGCGCCGCCGACTCGTCGACCGCCTTGCCGGGCATGCACTGCGGGACCGCCGGGAGGAAGGAGGACAGCTTCTGGAGCAGAGTCGGCCTCTCCTCGGCCGGGGCTACCTCGGGCGCGTCCGCGCCGGCCGGCGAGGGCGCTTCGGCGGGCGCCTGCAGCCGAGAGAGGCGGCGGAGTGCGGCCGAGGGAGTCGGCCGAGGAGATGCGCGGCGTTGAGGGGCGGGAGATGCCTCGGCCTCTGCGTCGGCCGCTGCTGGCGCCGCCGCCGCCTTCATCGCGTCCACCTCGGCGACCTCTTCCGCGGTGACGGCGAGCTCGGCAGCCTGTTCACAGCTGGAGGTGTGGAGGGGCGCTGCTCACACCTCTGCCGCGGTGACGGCGAGGCTCCGCAGCCTCGTCGAGGTTGCCCGAGCTCTTGTAGTAGTTGAGCCACTCCAGCCGCGCCTCCTCCTCGCCCACGTCCGAAACGCCATACTCCTTCGCCTCTGCCGGCGCCTCTGCCGGCGCCTCCTCTGCCGCCGGCGCCTCCTCTGCCGCCGGCGCCTCCTCTGCCGCCGGCGCCTCCTCTGCCGCCGGCGCCTCCTCTGCCGCCGGCGCCTCCTCTGCCGCCGGCGCCTCCTCTGCCGCCGGCGCCTCTGCCGCCGGCGCCTCTGCCGCCGGCGGCTTCTCCTTGCGAGGCGAGAGCGCGGCCGCGACCTTCTCGAAGAGGGAGGGCGGCGGCGGCGGCTTGTCCGCCTCCTCCTCCGCCGCCTCCGCCCCCTCCTCCTCCGCGGCCTCCGCCGCCTCGGCCTCGCCCGGTCTCCCCCGCCTCGGCGGGCTCGTCGGCTCCGCCTCGGCCTCCCCCGCCTCCTCCTCCTCGGCCGGCGGCGGCGGCGCCTTCTTGGTCGGCGAGAGGTAGGCCGAGACCTTCTCGATCCAGCTGGGCTCCTTGGCCGGCCAGATGTACTCGACCGTGCCGGTCTCCTGGGCCGGCACGCCCGAGAAGTGCTCCATCGCGTCGCCGAGGACCTCCTGCCGGCCGGGGGGGGGGGGGGGGGGTTTGAAGAGACGGTGTGAAGAGATGCCGTTGGCAGCCGCGCGGCACGTCTCGGCCACAGCGCGGCTCAGCGCGGCTAGAGCTAGTTCACATCTCCTCCACGCCTCGGCTGTCCTTCTCGGGCGGATGCTGGCCTCATCTCGCCCCGCCCCCTCCTCTCTCGCCCCCGCCCCCCCCCTCTCGGCTGCATCCTCGCCTTGGCCACCGGCGCGGCCGCCTCGAGCGCCTCTCTGGAGGTGTACGACGCGACGACGAAGGCCTCGGTCGGCCCGGTCTGGTAGGAGGAGACGCCGACGAGCCCGCCGAGCTCCTTGAAGGCGCCCTCCTTGCTGCGCAGGAGGGCGAGGGCAGCCTCCCTCGCCTCCTCGCCCTTGAAGCCAATCTTTGTCAGCCGCACGGCCACCGGCGGCTCGGAGGCCGCCGGCCCGTCGACCGCCCACATCTCGGGCCCGACGAGCGCCTCCTCCGGCGGCCCCGCGACGAGCTCCGCCATGAAGGTCTTGAGCACGCCTCCGAGCGCCGCCTTGCCGCCCTCGGCCGCCGCCTCGTCCTCCCAGCGAGAGTGCGTCACGACGTGCCTAGAAGGTTCCTAGAAGGTTCCTAGAAGGTTCCTCGTCCTCGCCAGCGAGAGAGAGCCACGACGTGCCCGTCTCCGACCGCGTACATCTTGACGCCGACGAAGCCGACGAAGGTCTTGACGAGCGCCTTGAACTCGTCCTTCTCGGTCGCCGCGACCATGTCCGGCACCGCCCCCTCCTTAACCGGGATCTTGGTCAGGCGAGACACCTCGACCTTCTCCTCCTTCGGGGCCTGCGGGCGGCGCGGCGTGGCGGAGCTGTGCGCGAGTTGTGGGCGCGTCTCCGGTGTGGCGGGTGCGTGTGCGGCGGGCGGCCCGGGAAGAGCGGAGGAGGAGGTGCCGACGTGGGTACGTCACGGCTGGCGGGCGAGGGAGGCGAGGGGTCGGTGGGCGAGGGAGGCGACGGGTCTCTCAGAGGTGTCTCAGAGGCGCGGGCCGCCTCTTCCTCGCGCGCCGAAAAGGCATTCTTGACGAAGTCGCCAACCTGGCGAGCGGGCGGGAGAGGGAGGGGGTGGGCACGCGGGAGGGGGCGCAGAGAGGGGGCGGCGCGGCGCCGGCGGCGCGGCGGAGGCCAGGGCGGCGGCGGTGGAGGCAGAGGCAGAGGCGAAGGCGGAGGCGGAGGCGGAGGCAGCGGTAGGCCTGGCAGTGGCGGAGGCGGCTGGGTCGGCAGGCCGGGCGGCGACTGTGGCGGGCAGTGGTGGTGAGGGTGGCGGCGGGGCGGGCCTTTGCGAAGATGTTTTTCTCTTCTTCGGTCGGCAGCTCCGCGACGGTTGACACCTCCGGCTCGGCCTCGGGAGCCTCGGCCTCCTCCTCGGTGGGCGCGGGCTCCGCCTCCGCCTCGGGCGACGGCTTCTCCGTTCTCGGCGGGCTCGTCGGCTCCTCCTCCACCGGCTCCTCAGGCACCGCGCTCGGCTTCGGCTCCTCTGGCTCGACGACTGTCTTCTCGGCCTTTTTTGAGCCGCAATTTCCCATGGCTTGTGGTGGTGGAGGTGACGGCTGCGGGGAGACGAGAAGGGTGTGAGCGGCGCAGTCAGCCGCCGAGAGGGGCACGGGGGGGAGGGAAGCGAAGCAGCACCTCGACAAAGCAGGCGGCCGGGGGCGCTTCGAATCAACGGCAAGGCGGAGTCACGTAGCTGTGAAGATGCTTTCCACCGCACCACAGGCCCTTCCAGGGCTCGCACCTCAACCTTCATAGACCAGCGCGCAGCGCACAGCAGCTATTTTCTTCGTAAAAAGGTGACGAACAGGCGCGCAAAAACCGAAACCAGCGCAAAATTCCTCAACACCCCACCGGACAAACAAGCCACTCCCACGCCTTTGGCAACACCGAAGAGAAGGCCCGCCGCCTAAACATGGGCTGCAAGGCGCGCGGGCAGCCCGGCCAACCCTTCTCCCACAAGACCAGCCACGGCTACGTCTAGGCGCATCGCGGTTTCTACCACGACGCGATCTTTGTCAAGCGCAACAACTTCAACCTGCTGCTCCACGAGACGTTCGGCGGCGGCTTCTCGCCCACCGCCGTTCTCAAGCTGCGCCGCCTCGCGCGCAAAGTCGCGCGCGGCAGCGTTGACCGCACGGCCTACTCGCCCAAGTACTCGCTCTCTTTTATGTCCCACCATGCAGAGCGCATCTCTCTCTCTGTTGTGCGAGGCGTGAACCACGCCATTCGCTCTCACCTGGCAACCCTGTCTGCACGCGTCTCGCGCGCGCGTGAACAGGGCTCCAGGCCCCGCAAATGACGCGTGTGAGTGTTAGATTTGTTTGGTATTGCTAAAAAAATCGGCCGACTGCACGCTAAAGGCTACACGCTCGCACACCACTTGCTGAGTGGCTCTCCCGGGTGCTCAGCCCACGGCGGAGGCACGCCAGGCCCCGGGCAGCCGGCCGTCACTCGCCTAAGCGCCTTGTCTGCACGTTACCTCCGTTATCCCTCCTCCTCCGCGACTCCCTCAAGGCCGGGCGGGCCTCCTTCCACCCCCCCCCCCCACCTTTTCTTTTTTGAAAAGGTTCACCTCCGCATGGAGGACCGCCCTTCGGGCACCATCACGCCCTCCGGGCATACTCCGAACTCCCACACGCCAATACACGCGCGGCCGGCGCCTCCCATGCCCTTCTCCAGGCACACCGCGTGAAAACTGCGCGTACGTCCCCGCGCGCACGCAAACACGCGCAGCGCCTTTCAGAGCTGTGCCCATGTGCGTCTGCCCTGTGCTGGCGCCCCATGGCCGTTCCGCGCCGCCCGCACCAGCTGCGCGCCCCTCGCACCACCAGAGGCAGCCGCACATCCACTCACGCCGACGCGCGCGCCGCAGCACACCTCACCAGCACACCTGCGCCTTTTTGCGCCCTGTGCAGGCTCTGCAGACTGCTTCTGGCATCTCATAAGCGGCTGTACCAGGACGCGCCGCGAGTGAGACGCAGATCCGGCACCGCGCAGGCGCGCACGCACGCCCGCACGCGCGCGCGCGCGCGCGCGCGCTTCCGCTCTCTGCTGCACAGACTGCCAGCCTGCACACACAGCATACAGCACCATGTGCACGCATACGCCTGACGATGCAGCCCGCACTCCACAACAACAGCCTGCCTCACGCCTCACCACGCCACCCCGCGCTCACACCGCCAGCAGCCCGATCAGAGAAACTGCAGCGCGCGCCTCTGCACGCCTGCAGTCTCTCTGCACTCTGAGCCCTCTCAATCCACCCCGCCGCCGCGCCTTCCCGGGCACACCGCAGCGAAGATGTGAGTCGAAGTATTGGATATCGGCCGAGCCTGCGCCTGCCGCACACAGTTCTTTTTACTGCCAAAACATAAAAAGAAAAACACGAGGCCGACTTGCACTTTGGTCTTTGGACTTTGCACTTTGCACTTTCGCACTAAGCCGTAAGCGCAAAGGCCACACAAAGAATTCTTGTTGAAAAAAGAGAAACTATTTATCACCTTTAACAAACAGCGACGACCAGCAGCAACGACCTATCACCTTGACAAACAGCGACGACCAGCAGCAACGACCTAGAGCAGCGTCCTGCCGAGTGTGTGTAGCACCGACGCAGACGCACCCCAGGCACTACACTACGACGGCTAGGCAGACCTCACCAGTCCGATAAGGATCAACTGGAAGGTTGAACCTCGAGCTTAGACAGAACGGGCGCGACAGACTCCAGGGGAGATCGCGCTCTACTCGGGGCACCAAGGAGGAAAACCGAAACCGTTTGGGTGCCCCACAACAACCCAAACGCCACAACCTAAGCGCCACACCTCCCCCCCACGTCCCCCCCCCCTTGGGGACGTAGCGCACGCCCTTGCTCGGAGAGAGTGGGGGGGGAGGGGGGGTGGGGGAATAGGAGGAGCCAACGAGCTCGGAGTAAGGTCCACAGTAGAGAGGCCGGCATTTAAGGCGTAACTTCACCCTCGCTCACCTCGAGTATATCTAGGCGCCCTGGTGCAGTCGGTCTTCGGATCAGCGGCCAGCTTCCCATCTAGGGCAGGGAACCCCCAGCGACGCTAGTGTGGCCTACGGTAGCCATAGCTTGTACGCGATCCCGGGGCAGGGGGGTGTGGACTCTGGAGCTCCAAGAGAGGATAGAGAGAGGAAGGGAGATTGGTGTGCCGGTTTTTTGAGCTAGCAATTTTTTTTTTCCTCCTTCCACCCAGCGAAGAGCTTCCTCAGCCACTCGATGTGTTCCTCTCTCTTCATTATGCGCGCCGTAGCCTCATCATTGAGCTGGATCCTTTTTGCACACACACAACACACATGCACCACAGGTGTTTTGGGTTTTTGCGCGCCTGTTCGCAGCGCAGGGTCGGAGCGCCGCCGCCGCCTGGTCCACCGGGGAGCCGACGCACCCCCTCCCCGTCTTTATTTCCGCTGAACCGCTCCCCCCAGCCCCACGAAAAATAAACACAAAAAAGCACCCCCGATCACCCCTGCTCTGCGTACCTCCTCGACAGCGCCTCGAGGGCGAGGTCGTTGACCGGCAGCAGCACGCCCGCGACCGGTCCCGCTCGCAGCAGCGTCGCGCCGATGCCGCGGTAGAAGGCTCGCGCGCCGCCGCTGCGGTAGAGCCGCACCGCCTCTGCCCTCACCACTCCGCCGCCCGCCTCCCCGCCGCCCCTCGCCCCTCCGTCGCCTCCTCCGCCGCGCCCTGCGCCCGCCATGATCCTCGAGCGAAGCACGTCCACCTGTTCGCAGCTCGCGCCGTGCAGAGAGCAAGGCTGGCCACGGGGCTCGGGCGAGGCACGCCCACCGGGTAGATGGACGACCAGGCGGTGCACCCTACTCACAGCTCACAGCTCTCGCCCTCTGCGCCACCCTGCTCTGGAGGGAAGAGAGCTGCGGGCAACGAGGCAGCCTGCCAGCGCCCCCGCCGCCACTCTCCTCTCGAGCGGCTCGGACGCCTTTTCACAGCTCACGCGTGTGAAAGGGCGCTGTGCACGCCATCACACCCTCTTGCCCACGGCATCATAACGCCTGTTCACAGCTCACGCGTGTGAAGAGGCGCTGCTCACACCGCCCGACCCTATGTCGACTGCCTTCGCCTCCCCGGGCCGCGCGAGGCCGCGCTTGGCGCACTGGTACACGCCTGCTGACAAGCTGCGGTCGTGGGGAGACTTCCTGGAGACTTCTCCCTCGAGCCCTCGCCACGGCGCTGGCAGGCGCCGAGGTACACCATCGACCCTACCTGCTCACAGCCAGACGCCGGTGAAGGGACGCTGCTCCAAGCTCTGCCGGCCGGACCGTCAAGCCCGCCGTCTCCAGGCCCGCGTGCAGGCCGAACCCGTGGAAGACGCGCCCTGTTCACAGCCATCGCCGTCAAGAGGCGTCGCACACCGAAGGGAGGAGTCGGAAGAGACCGCCTCGACTCCACATCGCAGCAGAGGCGGCGGCGAGGGTTCCCCCGTTGGCCTGCTGCCAGATCTTTAGCGCGACGAAGGGCTGTGTCAGCGGCGCGACCGAGCATCCGGTGACGCCCGCGGCGAGAAGAACCGTCTGCAGCGGCGCGGTGTCGCCCGGTGGAGCTCCGAGGCCGAGCTTCACATTCTCAAAAATGGCAAAGTACACGGCCCGGACCGCGCCCGTCGTGAGGAGCGGCGGAAGAATGCCTCGGTACAGCGCCAGGATCCGCTGAGGCAGCGGCGCGGTCGACGGCGCAGCCGCTGGAGATGCGCCTCCGAGCTGTGCCTGCACCTTCATCGTGTCAAAAGCGTGGCCGACGAGGACTCCCGTCGCGCCGGCGATGCCACCGGAGACGAGGCCGAGCCAGCGGGGAGGGGAGCTTAAAGCGTCCTCTCGCATCCCCCCGAAGCGGGAGAGTACAGGCCGCGCCGACCCAGGGCATCAGATACCCCTCTCGAGGGAGGGAGGGACCCTTTGGCTCTTTCGACGACTCCCGGGCTCTGCTCCAAGAGACCTCGAGAGAGTGCGTGCTTGTGGCTCGACTCGCCCGGTACGCCGCGCGCCGTTAACATGCTGCCATGCACCCCGCCCAACACCGCCGCCGAGCCATCTCCGCCCGTCGCCTCCTCCACTCTCGCCGCCACCGCCATCCCCTCCGCCACCGCCGCCGCCGCCACCGTCGCCGCCGCTGCCGCTTCATCAGACGCGGGCGAGGGCATTGCGCCGGCAAAGCCGCCCCCCCCTGCCCCAAATTGCCGTGGCGCAACGAGAGGCGCCTCAGGCATGTTCAAGAAACAAGTCACGTACCAGGCGTTCAAGATCGTCGCGTCGAATCCGCAGCTTGGCTTCGGAGAGATTGTCAAGATGCTGGGCGTGGCGTGGAGCCGGCTCTCCGTCGCAGAGAAGCTCGCATATGGGGGGCCTGGGTTTCGTGGGCGTGGGGCTGCCGCCGCCACCGCAGCGCCGCCTCCACCGCCCGCGCTTCCAGTGGCCGAGGCGGAGGGCTTGCGGCTGCACCTCTCGAGCAGCAACAGCACCGGCTACAAGGGCGTGTACAAGTCGACCTCAAATATCTTCGTGGCGAAGCGCGCGGCGAGTGGGCGGCAGGTCTCCCTCGGCCAATTTGGCACGGCGGTGGAGGCAGCGGTGGCGTATGCGCAGGCGGTCGGCGAGTACCAGCCTCCGGCTTCTCCGACGCTGAGCTCCCGTCTTCCGGAAGCGGCGCCTCAGGCGGACCCGGTGGCCGAGGCGGAGGGCTTGCGCCTGCACCTCTCCATTCGCGGCAAGCGCAACCCCACGGGCTATAAAGGTGTGCGCAGGGTGTACTCCGGGGCCTTTGAGGCGAAGCGCTGTGTGCCGGGGCGTGGGAAAGGAAGCCGATCGCGGCAGGTCGTCCTCGGCCACTTTGGCTCGGCGGTGGAGGCGGCGGTGGCGTATGCGCGGGCAGTCGGCGAGGCAGCGGTGGTGACGACGGCGGAGGTTCCGACGGCGGTGGCGGCGACGGCAGAGGAGGCACCGCCAATGCCGCAGAAGGATGAGGTGTGCACCGCGTGGCTCGACCTGATCTCCGCCGCCGAATCGGCGCGTGCGGCGGCGCGTGCGGCGGCGCGCCGAGCGGGCGGGCGGGGCGGGCGGGCAGGCGGGGAGGAGGGGGGGGAGGGGAGGCTTAGCCATCAGCTGCTGTCGAGCCGAGGCGGCGGCAGCCGCCGCAGCTGCAGTGCGGCGCGCGGTGTGAGTGAATAGGAGAGGGTGGCGTGTGTGTGTGGTGTGTGCCGCAGACTGCCGCCGCTGTCAACGTGGTCGTCCTCACCACACGTGTCGTCGGTAAAGTATCTCTCTCTCAACACTTGCGACTTGGGCACGGGCAAAAATAACCAAGATCCAAGTAGCTGCGCCGCGAGCGAGGTTATAAGCCTCTGTGGGCCGGCGCGGGGCCCCCCGGAGGCACCGTGCGCCGCGCAGCACGGTGCGGAAACCGGGGGCTCCGGCTCTATGAGTCTCTATGAGCACCGACTTCCCGAATGATCACGGTTGATCAGAGGGCAGATTTGGAGAGATCTCGAGGAGTACATACAGATAGACCCTCCAACCATCAGAAAACTCCGACCTGATCGGTCGTACTGACCGCCGACAGATCACTCCAGACAGCAGACAGGCCGACGTCTGCACGCGGCCGGCCGGGCGAGAGGCTTGACACGATCCGACCCTGCGACCCTGACGCTGCTGCTCTAGCTATCAGCCATGCACTGCTGACTGCTGCCACAATGTGCGACCTGTGCTGGCCCACTTGGCGGCCTTCCCGGTCAGTGGTGAGGCGCAGTTCAGAGCTGTCGATGGCGCGATGCCGCACTGGTCCCACATTGGTGACACGAGACCACCAAGTTTGCCGGTCCAAGAGAGAGGCGCCGGCGCTGTCCTGAGAAGGTGCGTGGTCCCTCTTGACTGCCCATGCGCGCGAGGCTGTGTAGGCATAGCCTCGAGAGTGCCAGCAGCCAATCCGAGGTGACGCGCATTGCGCCAGAAGCGTGCACGCAGCTGGAAGGACACCTTCCTACTGGCCGTACGATCACGTCATCACTGAATGCTTGATACAAAGGCCGCGAGCTATGCAGGTGATCAATTGTGCATCATGGCACGGTCAGCTGCGCCGACAGGCTGTCGCAAGGCGTGATAGCATGGCCGCAAGTACGCCGAATTCCCATGAAAACAGTGCCAGTCCCGTACCCGGTGTCGTGCGAGGGAGTTTTGTTGTAAATTTAAAGAAAGAAAGAAAACAGACAACCCAAGGGAGGGATGGGAGAACGGCACGCCGCCACCACACAGGGATTTTAAGGAGAGGGGTGTGGTGCGCGTGTGAGTGAGTGAGTGAGTATTCTTGACACACACACACACACCACTGTGCCCCCCTACTCACCCGCGCTAGGTCTCGGGTTTGACGCACGGGGTCACTCCCGCGAAACCCGTGAACTAGCCGGGGCAGTCGGAGAAGGGGCAACTCCGTGCACTGGGCCGTCAGAAAACACGCACGCCTCCGTGGCTCGGGTTACACCAATCCTCGCTACCCAACGCGGCCATCTGCTCCTGGGCTCTAGCGCCGATGGCGGTATCGTACCGCTTCGCGGTGCTTCGCTTCGACGACCGCAACCGCTACGGCCAGGATGGCGTGCCGGGAACCTTCCTCTTCGCGGGCGGGGAGAGCGTGATCGTGCGCGTGAAGCCCGCCACGCAGGCAAAGGCGGGCAAGCGCAACCGATTCGCAAAGGTGGCGGCGCTGTCGTCGTCCAACGAGGGGGAGGCGGCGCTGATCGAGCTGCTCGGCCCGGTCGGCGAGTACGCCTCCGAGCTCGAAGCATACCAGCTCCACTTTGGCGTCAAGCCGTGCCGCTACCCGCAAAAGGAGGAGTGGGCGCTGACGGGGCTGCTCGGAGGCGGCGATGGAGGCTCGCTGCCGCCGTGCGAGGCGTGGCGGCGCGACTGCTCCCACCTGCACGTCGTCTCGGTCGACAACGCCTCGACACGAGACATTGACGACGCCCTCTCGATCGAAGCATCTGCCGACGGAGGCGTCGCTCGCACGTGGCGGACGTGGCGTCTCTCGCCTGAGCCTTCGCTGAACCTGCCACGAAGCTTCCCTGCAGGCGTCGAGCTGGGGATCCACGTGGCGGACGTGGCGGCCCACATCTCTCCCGCCTCGCCTCTCTTCCGGTGGGCGCTGGAGCGGGCGGGGTCGCACGGACCGCCGCGGCGTGACCGCTTCCGCAGCGGCCAGCCCCTTCCTTCACTGCTTCCAGGCGGGGTCCGCGTACCACGGCGGCATCGCCGCGTCGGCGGCAGAGGCGGAGGCGGACCCGCTCCTCCGAGGAGGGTCTGTTCCGATGCTGCCTCCCGACCTCGCCCACGACATGCTATCGCTCAACCAAGGCGAGAGACGATGCAGCCGAGAGGGAGCCGAGATGCAACCGAGGTGCAGCCGTCGGACTGCTCCCGCTCACCCAAGGCAGACCGGCAAGGCAGACCGGCCTCTCCTCCTCTCGGCCGACGAGCCCTCAGCCCGAGTGCTCAGCCCGTGTGCACCGGCCAGGCGTGCCTCGCAACGCGCTCTCCGTCTTCCTTCGCGTCGCCGGCGGCAAGGTCGTCGAGACCCCCAATCATAGTCGCAATTAAACATAAACAGCTGTCGTTCGGCGCGCGTCGCCGGCGGAAAGGCCGTCTCGCAAGAGTCCTAATTATTAAACTAGCAATGCGCTGTGTCGTCGCCGGTGGCAAGGCCGTCTCGCGCCGGCACGTCCGCGACACGTCCGCGACATGTCCGCGACACGTCCGCGACATGTCCTCGACACGTCCTCGACATGTCCCCGAAGGTTGTCTCGCGCCGGCACGAGCGGACACGGATCGTCAACCGAGAGGCGACCACGTACGCCGCGCTTGATGGGGAGATTTGGGGAGATATGGGGAGATATGAGCTCAAGTAGGCGACCACGTACGCCGCGCTTGGCGCCGCCGCCACCCCCGCCCTCGAGGTTGTGCGAGACCTGCTGCGCGCGCTCTCGGGCGCGGCGAGTCGGAGGGTTTCGTCACGCCCGGCGCGGGTTCGTCAATCTTGTGTGTTGCCTCCCCCCAGGCGAGGCGGAGCCGGAGGACCTCGTCGCGTGGACCATGATCGAGTACAACTCGTACTTCGGAGAGCGGCTGGTCGAGGCGGCCGACGCTGCCGCCGGCCCGGCCGGGCTGCTGCGCGTGCAGGCGCTGCTGCCGCTGAGCCGTCCACGCTGCTTGTGAACAGACGCCTTTCACAGCGCTGCACTTGCGAGCAGGAGCCTCCCCCTCCGGGGGGACGCCCCCTCGCGGCCCGCTACCAGCTGGCGAGCCACAGAGGGACCACCCGAGGGCACGCGTCGCTCGGCCTCGCCGCGTACGCGCACGTGTCGTCGCCGATCCGGCGGTACGCCGACCTGCACTGCCAGCACGCGCTGCTCGGGTCGCTGCCGGCGGCGGCGGCGGAGGAGGCGCCGATCGAGGCGCTCAACGAGCGCGCCACGGCGCTCTCTCGCTACCACGCCCACACGTCGGCGATGGAGCTCGCCTACCGCTGCCGCGAGGCGCCGATGGTGTACCGCGGCCGCGTCGAGCTCGACGATGAGTGGGGGGGAGCGTGGCTAGATATTATATATTATGTATTATGTAGTATGTATTAGACGACGAGTGGGGGGGAGCGTGGCTAGACACTTCCTGGACACTTCCTAGACACCTCCTTGAGTGGGGAGGAGCGTGGCCCGCGCAGTGACGCCGACAACTCCTCGGCACTCGACGAGCGCCGTTCACTGATTAGGAGCGTGCTTGCGCCTCTACACGGAGCGAGGGCGCGTTCGCATCCCGCTCTCGGACTCGTACTTTGCCGAGCCGCTCGCCGCCGCGCTGTCGGGCAAGCAGGGCGGCGGCGAGGAGGCGGAGCTGGAGCACACTGCCCGCCCCTCTCCTTGCTTGCCTCTCCTCACGCACCGGGCCGTGACCAGGTGGAGCTCGAGGTGTGGGGCATCCTCAAGCGCGGACGCACCCAGCTGCGGGTGCGCCTCCCAACCGGCGGAGGCCTCTCGCTGTCGACGGCGGCGTCACACCTCTGCTGTGGACCAGGTGCGCGTCCCAAGCAGCGACGCGCCGTCGACGCCGTCCGCCAACGGCGCGGCGTCGGCCCAGGGCCCCGCCGGAGGCGAACTGCTAAACAGTTCAGCTCGCGGCCTTGATGACTCAGGGTCGGCCCCGGCGACGCCCGCCGGATCGCTGCCGACGCGCTCTCCGCTCTCCGCCTCTCGGGCTGCGAGCGGCGGGCCGGGCAGCGCCGTCGACGTGGCGGCGGCGAGGCGGGGGGCGGAGGGCGGGCGCTGCTGCGGCCGTCTCGTCACGGGCCCCAAGGTGTGAGCAGGCGAGGAGGATGGTGGAGGCGGCGTTGGGCGGCGAGGCGGCAGACGACGAGAAGGCGGCGCTCGAGCGGAAGGTGAAGAAGCTGTGCTTCCAGGTCGATGACATCGGCAAGCTCAAGGCGAGGCAGGACGCGGGCGAGGTGCTGCAGTCGAACCAGCTGACGAAGCTCGCCAAGGGCGCCGCCGTGCGCGAGCAGCTCACGCAGGCGCGGGCCAGGCTGGAGGCGACACTTCCGGCGCTTCGTAGACGCTTCCTAGACACTTCCTAGACACTTCCTAGGCGCGGGTCGGGCTGGAGGCGCTGCTCTCGCTGCGGGCAGACGAGGCGAGGGCGGCGGAGGAGGCGAGGCACGTGGGCGAGTCGCTCTCCGCGGCGGTGAAAGGCGCTCTCTCCGTCTCTGGCGGCGGCGCGCCCCTCTCCGCTGCAGGGGAGGGGCCCGCCTCGCCCGCCGCCGCCGGCACCGCTGCGGCGGGGGAGGGGGGCGTGGGGGCACCGGCGGCGGCGGAGGAGAAGGAGGAGGAGGAGGCCGAGCTTGATGCGGAGGTGGTGGCGCATCTGCGGCGGTGCGGCGTATCGGAGGCGACCGAGCGGCTTCTCGGCGCGTGCTCGGTCGGGCTCGAGGCGCTCACCCTCTGCTCGGCGGCGGAGCTGGTCGACCTCGCTGGCGAGATCTAGCCGAGATCTAGCCGAGATATGGCGGAGCTGGTCGACCTCGCTGGCGAGATCTAGCCGAGATCTAGCCGAGTTATGGCGGAGCTGGTCGACCTCGCGGGCATCCCGCACGACGAGGCGAACAAGAAGAAGAAGAGCTAGGCGTTGGTGACTCGTTGATGTGACTCGTTGATGGCTCCTCATCAGGCATCTCGCACGCCGAGGCGGAGAAGGTCGTCGCGGGCTCAAGCCGTGCCAAGGCCGCCGCCGCCGCGGACGACCCATTCGGCGACGACGGCGGCGACGGCACCCTGAAGAAGGACGAGGTGACGACGATCATGGGGTACCCGCCGGATGGCTTCCAGTGCGGCTGTTTGGAGGTCATCGTCCATCCCGAGCTGGACCTGCTCGCCATGGCGCCCACCGGCTCTGGCAAGACAGCGGTCGCGCTGATGGCCATCCTGCAGGCCTTCCGGCGCGGCAAGAAGGCGGTCTACACGTCGCCGATCAAGGCGCTCTCAAACCAAAAGTACGCAGAGTTCAAGGCCTGGTTCTCGAAGCGAGGCATGGCGAGCGCCGGCGTCGCGCTGCTCACCGGCGACATCAAGATCCGCTCGCCGCCCGGCGTCAAGCACGAGCTCATCATCTGCACCTCCGAGATTCTGCGCAACAAGCTCGTCAAGAACCCGCACGAGCCACCGCCGCAGCCGCCGCCCGCCGCCGCCGCCGCCGGAGGAGCGGAGCCGGCGCCGCCCGCCAAGAGCACGTCCGAGAGGAGCACGTCCGAGGGGACGAGCATGCGCGACCTCGACCTGGACAACCTCGGCCCTTGTCTCCTCGGGTGCGGCCCACCCTCCACAGCGCTCCTTTCTTGACGGACGGCCTTCGCGTTCAGGCGTCGTCGTGTCCGATGAGATCCACTACATCAACGACAGCGAGCGAGGCACCGGCTGGGCGGCCCTGCGCCACCTGCCGTGAACAGCGTCTCTTCACACGCCGGGCTGTGGAAAGGCACCGTCTGGGAGGAGACCCTCATCCACTTGCCGCCCGCCGTGCAGATGGTGGCCCTCTCCGCCACTCTGCATCAGCCAGAGCACTTCCTCGCCTGGATCGGACGCGCGCGCGGCCGGCCCGGCGACATCGTCTAGCGGACATGCCGCCAGTTGCAGGACTGTTCCAGGACATGTCCCGAGACATGTCGCATTAGGCAAGATCGTCAAGCGGACGGACCGGCACGTCCCGCTCCACGTGGGCGGTGTCGAGCGGCGCGGCGGCCAGTTCCTGCAGTTCTTCGGCACGCACGCGCCGCGCAAGCGAGGCGACGCCGCCGCGGGGGCCTTCCAGGCGGAGCGGTACGACATGCTCTGCGCGGAGCTGCAGGAGCCGGAGAAGCCGTCCGCGGCGGCGAGGCTGCGATCTCGAGCCGGAGATCGGACGCACGTTGGTCATAGGAGCCGGAGCGACCGTCCGCGGCGGCGAGCGGCGCGGCGGCGGCGGCGCGGTTCGAGCGCGCCAACGAGAAGGAGGCGCTGCGCACGGAGCGGCAGGGCGGCAAGGGCGGTGGGCGGGGCGGCGGAGGGAAGGGCGGCGGAGGGCGCGGCGGCGGCGGTGGCGGTGGGAGGGGCGGCAAGGGCGGCGGCAAGGGCGGCGGCAAGGGGGGCAAGGGGGGGATCACCTTTGGGTTCGGATCCGAGTACCTCCGCCTAGCGTGCCCCCTCGAGTCTGGAAGGCACTGGGCGGGCATACTCCTGTGTCGATGAGTAGGTGCCTCCGCCTCGCGCGCAGCCTCTCCTCTCCGACCCCCTCGATGCTGCCCGCCATCGTGTTTTGCATGTCGCGCAAGCACTGCGTCGACGGAGCACACGCGGTCAGCCACTTCCTAGACACTTCCTAGCCACTTCCCAGACATGTCGCGCAAGCACTGCGTCGACGGAGCACACGCGGTCAGCCGCTACCCCTCAACCGCGCGTGCACCCCTGGCTCTCGGCTCCCCCTCGCCACGCCTCCACGTGTGCACAGGCCTGCCTCAGACTTGCGCGCGGCTGTGTCAGCTCGCGGCCCCCTCTTCACAGCTGCACGGCGTGAACAGGTCACCCTCAACCTGCTCGGCGGCGTGAAGCCGCACCGCCGCCACAAGCCGGACGAGACCGATGCCGCTGCGCTTGCCGCTTGGGAGAAGGCGGAGCAGGAGAGGCGCGGCGCGGTGCGGGCTGGGCAGCGGGTGCTGCTGCTTACGATACCGCACGGCGCTACGAGACGGGATTCGCTTCACGGGTAGGTGCGGACCGCGGAGAGGGTGCTGCAGCTGATGCACCAGAAGCACCTGCAGAGGTACATGCCCGAGCTCGGCCGGCTCGACGCGTACAAAGAGGTGGCCGAGCTCCTAGACACTCCCTGACACTTCGTAGACACTTCGTAGACACTCGTAGACGTGTCGTACTCGACGCGTTCAAAGAGGTGGCCGAGCGCCTGAGACAAAGAGGTAGACTCGAGGGAGGCGAACCGTAAGTGGTGCCGGCACGGTGTTGCACATTCACAGGTGATGGAGCTCCCGCACATTCACAGACCTGTTGTTCACAGGTGATGGAGCTCCTGTCGCGCGGCGTTGCCTACCACCACTCGGGCCTGCTGCCCGTCCTCCGCGAGTACGACACTTCTAGGAAGCGTCTAGGAAGTGTCTACGAAGTGTCTAGGCATGCTGCCCGTCCTCCGCGAGTACGTCGAGCTCTGCTTCCAGCAAAAGCTAGTCGAGCTCGTCTTCGCGAGATCATCCGAGATCGCCCGAGCTCACCCGAGGTGCCGGGTGCAGGCTAGTGAAGCTCGTCTTCGCGACGGAGACGCTTGCCGTCGGCGTCAACATGCCCGCGCGCACCGTCGTCTTTTCGCAGCTCGACAAGCCGAACGACGGCGACACGCCCGGCCACCGGCCGCTGCGCCCGGATGAGTTTTGGCAGATGGCGGGGCGAGCGGGCAGGCGCGGCTAGCCCGACGGGCTGGGGTGCGCGATCAGTGACCCATCTCATACTAAGAAGCACTCTCGGGTTCGAGGCGCGGCATGGACGAGCTTGGGTACGTGATTTACGCGCCGACTCTGTCGGTGGCGGGGCTGCGAAACCTCGCGTCGCCGATCGAGCTGCGCGAGATGCTCTGCGGTCGGATGCCCTCTGCTGTCTCGCAGCTCACGGCGAGACCTCCTCCCCGAGATCAGCCGAGATCAGCCGAGATCAGCCGAGATCAGATGCCCTCAGCCATCCCGCTCGGTGGACCGTCTCTATACCCACGCGATGTTCGCCGAGATGTCGCCGGCGTGCGGTCGGATGGCAAGGGCGCATGCTCTCCGCCCTCCGCAGCACGCGCCCTCACTGTCCCTGAACCCCCCCCCCCCGACCCTTCTCTCACCTCTCCCTTCCCCTCCCCCCTCTTCCCCCCCGCCCGCCGCTCGCAGGTCGACCGCCCCTTTGTCCTGCGCCACCTCCAGCGCGACATCGGCCCCGAGGTCCTCGACCGCACGCTCAAGAACGACTCGATGCGCCGCCGCGCCGCCGCAATCACAACCGAGATACAGGCGGCGATGGCGGCAGCGCGCGCAGGCCTCGAGGGCCCCGACAGCGATGCGGCCGCAGCACGGCGCATCCAGGCGGCTGACCGGTGCGCGTCGCTAGCGGCTCACCACTCCGTGTCTGCGTGTTGTTCTCACGGCGTATGCCCCTAGGTACGCGGCGCTCGAGAAGCGGCTCGCCGGCGCCTCGGGCGACTTCGGCGGCACCGCGGTCCGCCGACGCCGAGATTGTCCGAGATTGTCCGAGATTGTCCGAGATTGCGGCCTCACGCCAACACAGCAGAAGAGCTCGCCGTAGCCACGATGCTACCCGAGGCTCACCCGAGGCTGCCCGAGGCAGGTTCGGCTGACGCCGAAGCAGCAGAAGGACGCTCGCGCCGAGATGGGCGCTTTGCGCGCCGAGCACGGAGACGAGCTCCCGAAGATCGGCGCGGCGGTCGCCGGCCGCAAGGCGCTTCAGGCGGAGCTCGAGGCGACGCGGACGGCGCTGCGCGACGACTGGGCGGCGGCGATGCGTTGGCTGACCGACTTCGAGTGAGTCGGGGCCGGAGGAAGGCTCTCCCTCCACCGCCCGCGTGTGGTGACAACGAGACGGCGCATTCCGTAGGTTCGTCAAGGCTGGAGGCGGCCTCTCTCCCTCCGAGTCTCTCACACCGCCTAATCAATCCCTAACAGTTTGATACTTTTGATTGACAGGCCTCTCTCCCTCCGAGTCTCTCACACCGCCTAATCAATCCCTAACAGTTTGATACTTTTGATTGACAGGCCTCTCTCCCTCCGAGTCTCTCACACCGCCTAATCAATCCCTAACAGTTGATACTTCTGATTGACAGGCCTCTCTCCCTCCGAGTCTCTCACACCGCCTAATCAATCCCTAACAGTTGATACTTCTGATTGACAGGCCTCTCTCCCTCCGAGTCTCTCACACCGCCTAATCAATCCCTAACAGTTGATACTTCTGATTGACAGGCCTCTCTCCCTCCGAGTCTCTCACACCGCCTACTCAATCACTAACAGTTGATACTTTTGATTGACAGGCCTCTCTCCCTCCGAGTCTCTCACACCGCCTAATCAATCCCTAACAGTTGATACTTCTGATTGACAGGCCTCTCTCCCTCCGAGTCTCTCACACCGCCTAATCAATCCCTAACAGTTGATACTTCTGATTGACAGGCCTCTCTCCCTCCGAGTCGCTCGCACCGCCTAATCAATCCTTAACAGTTGATACTTCTGATTGACAGGCCTCTCTCCCTCCGAGTCTCTCACACCGCCTAATCAATCCCTAACAGTTGATACTTCTGATTGACAGGCCTCTCTCCCTCCGAGTCTCTCACACCGCCTAATCAATCCCTAACAGTTTGATACTTTTGATTGGCAGGCCTCTCTCCCTCCGAGTCTCTCACGCCGCCTAATCAATCCCTAACAGTTTGATACTTCTGATTGACAGGCCTCTCTCCCTCCGAGTCTCTCACACCGCGCGGCCGCGCGTGCGCCGCGTTTGCGGACGGGCAGCCCCTCATCATGGGCACAACCTCCTCTGCCGCCGGCCCCGTGCTCCGTTTCCGCGCCACGGCGTCGCTTCACAGTTGGGGCTGTGAACAGGCACCATCATCTCGGACGGCTGGCTGGCCGGGCTCTCTCTGCCGGAGGTCTGCGGTTGGATCTGCCTCTTTTTGCGCGAACGGCGCGTCGCCCAGAGATCGCATCAGGAAGGGGCGAGTGCCTTCTGTGTGGACGGCGGTCTCTTCACGGCTGCTGCCGTGAACAGGCGCATCGCTCAGACTGCGGGCGAGGCTGCCCGCGGGGAGCTTCCTTCCTTCTCGCCGGCGCTGCAAGAGGTGCACCCCGCGACCGCGGGGCTGTGAAGAGCGCCTCTTCACACCTCTGGCTGTGAACAGGTGTACCACGCGACCGCGGAGCTGGGCGAGCAGCTCGAGGCGCTGAGCTCCCCTCCTTCAGCTGCTTCTGCGAGTGCCGCTCCCTCCGACCCGGTTGCCGCCTGGCGCATACTCAGGTCGAGTTCGACACGACCCTCTCCAAGATGATGCTCGACTGGTGCGAGAAGAAGGACATTGGCCGCGTCGCCGGCCGGCTCGACGAGCAGCACCGGTCTCTGCTCGGTGCTTGGGTGTCAAGTGGGCGGTAGCTCGCGACTAGGCTGGCTCGACGCGCACATGCTCGGCGTCTTCGTCAAGACGGCGCTGCGCGTGGTCTCGCGCGCACTCGACTGGTGAGCAGGCATCTGACTGTGGTGGGAGATGAGCCGTAGGTGCTGCGCGTGGTGTCGTACCTCGACGTGACTCGCGAGGTCACTCGCCCGTCTTCACGGACTCGGCCGTGAACAGCGCCTCTTCGCACAGCGGGGGAGGGGTGTGTGTGTGTGTGCAGGTGCTGCTCGGGCTGCACAAGTACGAGCTCTACAACCGGCTAGTTAATTATTACTTATTAATTATTAATTAGGTGCTGCTCGGGCTGCACGAGTACGAGCTCTACAACCGGCTCGACCGCCACACCGGTGACTACTTAATACTGGATTCGCTAGCCTGATTGATAGTTATTTGAGTAGGCTCGACCACCATACCGACCTCCTCCTCGGGGGCCTCGTCACAAACGAGTCGCTCTACCTCACCATGGCGGACTGAGAGGCTCCACCTCGCCACCTCGAGCCACGGCGGACTGAGACGCCCATCCGCACGCGGGCGCAACGCCGGACGCAACGGCGCGTCGTCGTCAACGAGTCGACCCGACCTCGCCTTGGCGGGACGAGCGACCACCCCCGCTCGTCGCTGCCGCGAGAGCGGAGACCTCCGAGGACTGGTTGCGGCGCGGCCGTCGACGTCGTTCCAAACGTTTACTTGAGAAATCGTCGCGCAGAGTACATGCTGTGTCCAGGCAGAAATGGTAAGGTAAGGTAAAGTAAATTTCTCGACACACACAAAGTGGTGGGGGCTGGGGGCATCTGGCATCTCGAGGGGCACCCAAAGCGCAAGGGCCACAAAAAGGGGGGCCCGGCGGGCGCGGGGGCCGGGGAGCGGGGTGGCAAGAGAACCCTACCCGGCCATCGAGAGTAGTTCCTAAAGTACCTAGTTCGAGACCCGGCCGAGAAATGATCATGCTCAAAAACGCCACGGCTACTGTGGGACACGGCACTAGACCGCGCCGCCAGCGGGGCGAGAGCAGCAGCCTACAACCTGCCGACATGGCAGTTGTGCGACGGCGCCTTTACACACACACACACTCACTCAGGGCGCTACAATACCAGCAAACCGAGGTAGGTAGGTAGGTAGAAAGTGAAGAACAGCCAGGCTCGGACTGGACACCAACGCGGTATGGGTGGACGCTAGACAGATGATGACGACACACGCACGAGCGACACACAGACACAAGTCACAACAAGCTCACAAGACACACAGCCAGCTGGCTGCCACATTTATAAAATGAACTCGGGGGCACGGGACGCGGCACAAACGGGGCTGCCACACACCCGGAGTTGGCGTACATAACTCAGGGCCACATTCTTCCTGTCGCCCCCCCCAGCACTCCAAGGTGCCAAGAGAAACAAACAAAACATCACAACAGACGACAGGCTAGTGCCATTTCACTCTGACACGCTAATCTTGAAAACGTCCAACGGAGCTCCGTGTTGCTCCCAGCGCCCTCCCCCGCGCTTCCTGCGGCCATGGCCGATGATACTAGTATGAGAGGTCATCTGGCTACCGCGAGCGCGACTCAACTCGCCGACGTCGTCCGATGATTGTGCCTCAAAGTCAGCCTCCGGAGGCTATCGTGGGGTCGAGCCGGCAGTAGCCGTGACATGTGGTTCCACCACCCCTCGTATGCTTTGCCTCTGACCGCCACCGTTCCCAGGCTGCCAAATTGGATGGAAAGGAAGGCTCGGCGAGCGTATAGAAGCGTGCTCGACCTCGTCGTGGCAACCTGCACGGCAGCGCTGGTAGGCGCGATGAGCGTCGTGCCACCTGACCCGAGACGGGTCGCAGGCGTCGTACCGAGCGCGTCGAGACCGTGTCCTGATGTGATCTGCACGGGTGAGTCACGTCGGCGTCAAAGGAGCGACGTGCGACCTGTCAGAGCTTGATCTCCGATCTCAGCGGCGTCGAGTCGTCTCCGGCGCGCGACAAAGGTACATCCCCAGGACGCGCAGAGGCAGCTGCGAT